TCATAATAAATTGAACAATGCCAAACCCCCTGGTTATCGAGCCAAATTCACTGCCGTTTTAAAATTGTTCACTGCCGTTTTAAAATTGTTCACTGCCGTTTTAAAATTGTTAGCTCTCGTTATCGCACTGCTTATCTCTTGATAATTACACCGCTACTGCGCTGCTAGCTTGTTGTGCTGATCTTTACGATGGCAGATTTGGACTTGGAAAGTATCAATTACATGTGGAATGAGATGTTCACCTGGAGCAAAGAGACTCTGAAGAAATTTGGCAAGCCTTACGGAAAGTTAAAGGACATTGCGGACGCTAAGAACTTCAACAGACTGAATAAGCCGGAGATTGTCGATGTGTGTGGTCGATCTTTTGAGTATACGAACTATCTTATGGATACCGTTGAAGCGTACAAGAATGTGTTGACCAGACTTCAGGGTCAGTTAATTGAGAAGCAAGAGCAGGTTATCAGTGTTCAGGCCGAGCTATCAGCTTGCAAGACTGAGGAACTTGAAGCGATGAAGAAAACTGTGTCAAGTTCAGTTGCTGATTCAGTGAAAGCGGAGTTCCAATCTTACAGCTCAGTCGTTCAAAGTTTGCCAGCACAGTCTCCAGTAATCAGCCCGGAAGCATTGACGTCTGTAGTCAAGACTATTGTTGCAGAGGAGGACCGCAGCAGGAACCTTCTTATCTTCGGCCTGCCCGAGGAAAAAGAAGAGAAGCTCGAATCTCAAGTCAGTGAAGTTCTGGAAACTATTGGCATAAAGCCAAAAGTAGAGGCTCAGAGAATAGGAAAAAAGAAAACGGTTGACTCAACGCGACCAGTTAAAGTTATCACCTCAAACTCGATCATCGTTAATCAGATTCTGAGGAATGCCAGGAACCTGCGGCAGAGTGAGAAGTTTAAGACAGTTTTCTTGAGCCCTGATCGGTCTGTCGAACAGAGGAAGCTCCGGAAAGATCTGGTACAAGACATGAAGAAGCGGGCACTTGCAGAACCGACCAAAAAGTTTTACATAAAGGACGGGCAAATTTATAATTATTGTGCCGATGAGAGCAACGGTTGACAACTTTTTTTGAGTGTGTGTTTCGTGTGCTGTTTTGATATGTTTTGGACCATGTTTGTGAGGGACATATTGGTAGCTGTAGTTATTTTCTATACAAGACTGAATAGTCTTCAGGCTTTAGCTGAGCTTTAATTTCCGACGCAGTTTTGTTGAGCCACTAGTCCATGATGGGGAATATAAACAATATATTTAACTCTTAATGGTCATAGCGACTTTTAATTTCATGAATCATACAGATTTTAAAGTACGCTGGTACGATTTTTATCTTATTAAATTGCTGTTCAATATCTATTTTAGTAAACATTAACTGGGGTAGTAAAACCCAGTTCCCAATCAAATCACATTTCAGCATTTCGTGATAGGTACTGCACACGGATTTCCTCGAAATTCTATTATTGATTTCATTAATAACTTTATCATATTGCGACTTTCCGATATTTATCGCAAAACTTGGTATGACTACTACTACTACTACTACTATGTCGGAGCTAAGTCCGATCTACGCCAGAAAACCCCCTCCATATATCCCTGTCCCGCATCAGGGTTCGCAGTTCCTCTTTAGAGTTTGTCCCAACTTCCTTCAGTAACATAGACAAGTAGCTTTGTCTTGGTCGGCCTTGCTGTGCTCTACCGTGCGTAGGTTCCCATAAGACTAAATCACTGGCAAGTAGCTCAGGATGTCGGATGCAGTGTCCCGCCATTTTTAATCTCCTGCTTCGTAACTTGTTTGACAGCCTTGGGAGGCTACCATACAAAGTTATATTGCTGACCTTGTCCTTCCATGAGATACCCAGCACCATACGCAACATCTTTGTGTATGTCCCGTCCAAACTTTTCTCTTGAGCCTTTGTCAGTGTCCAGGTTTCTGATCCGTAGAGCAGTACTGATTCACAAGCCGCTATGAACAATCTAATCTTTAGGCTCTTTGAGAGTTTGGATTTCCAGATATCCTTCAGTCTATGTAGGGCACCCCACGCTTTTCCCTTTCTAACCCTTATCTCCCTATCTGTGCTCTCAATCCAGGAGCCTAAGTAGATGAAATCATCTACATTTTCTATGGCTTCCCCGGATCGACTTTGTAGGTCGCTAGATCGATCCTCCATATTCAGTGTCATGACCTTGGTCTTGCCTTCGTTTATGTGTAGTCCCACGCTTGCTGCCGCCGATTCTACTCTGAGCAGGAACTCGTTAGCCTTGTCCATGTCCTCAGATATAAGTGCTATATCATCTGCAAAGTCCACATCGGTGATGATCTTGGGCCCCACTCTTCTGCTTTTTCTACGTTCGAGGGTGAGTCCAAGTCGCTCCGCATCATCGCCTATGGCTTGCCTCATACAGTAGTCGATGACTATTGCAAAGAGGTAAGGTGCTAAGGTATCACCCTGTAACACACCTGCAAGTATCTCGAACAATTCAGTTTCTCCGTCTGGAGTTAGGACTTTGGCCATTGTCTTCTCGTACATGAGCCGTATAAGCTGCACGATTTTGACTGGAATGCCGTAAGCTTCTAGAATCTTTAGCATTTTCCCACGATGTACACTGTCGAAAGCCTTCTTAAAGTCTATAAATGTCAGAACAGCTGGCAGTTTCCGACTCTTGACACCCTCTATAAGACGTCTCAGTACCAATATCTGTTGAGTTGTTGACCTTCCTGGTCTGAATCCATTCTGGTTTCTACGCAGAATTGTCTCGATTTCTGGCTTCAACCGGTTTAGAACCATCTTGTTTAGAGACTTGGCAACTAGGGATGACAAGCTTATTCCCCGATAGTTCATTGGTTCGCTAAGGTCGCCCTTCTTTGGAATTGGTATGATGTTGGCAGTTGACCATTGGTCTGGTTTCTCACCTTTCAATAGAGCATTGTTACAGAAGTCTAAGACAATTTGATCAAGGTCGCATCGTTTTAAGACTTCTGGGGCTATGTTGCAGTGACGTAACGAAAGGCCCTGCTGACCCCGCTGTGCAGGGGGGCGCCGTCTTAGGGAGGCGCCAAATCGTCGTTTGAATGTGGGACAATTTCGAAAACTTAACTAAAGTACTAGCAAAACTGCGCGTTTTGCTCTAGATACACACTTTTTTAGAGATTTTACCGGAGTATTCTTTAAAATCACCTAATTTGTTCAATTTTAGGGAGGGGCACCAAAAGGGGAGGGGGCGCCAACAGGGGGGCGCTTTTTTCGGCAGGGGGCGCCAACAGGCAATGTTACGCCACTGCTATGTTGTCGTCACCCCATGCTTTCCCTTCCTTTATGCTGGACTTTGCTTTCCTGTACTCATCCAACGTAAACGGTTCTGTTCCGATATTCAGAGGTGGGTGGACTGGATCAATATCCTCTTCTGCGTTCTCTACCGTCGGTGGTGAGCCGAGAAGAGTAGCAAAATAGTCCTTCCATTTCTGAACCCTTTCCGTTGGTGAGTTTCCCTTGATTTTGCCAGTATATGATGGAGCTTTACCTGTGATCTTGTTGATCATGGTCCAGCTTTTAGCATGTCTGCCCTGCCAACTTGCTTCCTCCAGTTCCCGGACCTGCCCCTCCAGCAGGTGCTCTTTGGCTGCTTGATAAGCATCGCCTAGCTTCTGTTTGCCCTCTTGAACAGCTATTCGGTTGTCTTCTGTAGCATCTGAGTGGTATTTTATGCTACATTCCCTCAGCTTCAGCCTGGCAATCTCAACACTTGGAGTCGCTGAGATTTTACATCTTTTCTTTTTCTCCTTTTCAGGTAGTAAAAGTCGAGAAGTTGTCCTATTCGCATCAATAAAGCATTGGTACCTTTCTGTTGCCGTCTGATCATCCTTTTCAAGTATGGAAAAGCGGTTTTTAACTTCCACTGTGTACCTCTCTTGTAGAGCGATATCAGTTTTAAGTTTAGACCAGTCCAGAACCGGAGCCCTCTTCTCCGTCTTGCTTATCCGTAGACTAAGCTTTACCCTTGCTACGACTACTCTGTGATCCGAGCCAATACTGTGGAAACTACCATATGCTTCGGAGTTCTTGACGGAGTTCCGCCATTTCTTCCGGCAAATGATGAAGTCGATTTGAGATTTACTTTGACTCATATCTGAGAGATATGTCCAGAGTTTACCTCTTCGCTTCTGAAATCTGGTGTTTGTGATTTCCTAGCTGTCGCTCCAACAGCATATCCTCTAGCAGTCTACCATTTCGGTTTGCTGGACCCTTGTGGAAGGATGTCCAGTTTCCTGATGATGAGACATGCGCATTGAGGTCTCCTACAACGAATAGTAAGTTGTGGGCTGGTATCTGGTCGATGGCACCACCAAGGCTGTCGTAGTAGTTTTCTGCTTCGTCGACAGTCGCCCCCTCTGTCGGGCTATAAGTCACAATAACAGTTGTGACCGGGTTCCCTGCAAAGTTGGCTACCATCGTCCTCCTGTCATGTGAGTATACACTAATCAATGAGTTGAATACTGTCTTTTTGTCCAAGACAATACCAACCCCACCAGCAGCCGCCCCATTGCTGGTTCTCCATGCCGAAGTTGTTATGAGGTGAGAGCTTCCAAGATCTTGATACTCGATTTCAGTGCTATGTACTACCCGATGCTCCTGAATGCCCAAAATATGTACGCCACTATCCCTCATGCATACACCCAGCTCATCCCTCTTGTATTGTTCTCTTATTGTTCGTACATTAAGAGTTCCTACAAGAATTTCCTTGGTACAACTTGGTATGAGACATAACTAAACGTTAGATAAATATAGTAAGAGGTATAACTGTCTGAGTGAATTAGTTATTACTGTATCAGCAAGGGGCGATGAAACTTTGCAACACATTGGGGCGCCAGCCTACAAATATTGTGTAGTTTAATAACCTTCAAAAAGTAAATGAAATTTACTAATCAGTTAGATCATCCAACCGACTGCATTTCACCTTCCTTGCAAATTTTTAGTTTATGAATTTCAAAGTAACTGTAATTTACTTACTTTGATCGTGTCAAATGGGTGTCCAACCACTAATCCTGTTGCTCCTGAAAAATTAAAAATCTAATCAAAATATAACATTATTTCAAGAATCTTACGTAATGAAAATGACGATATAGTTGAAAGTATTCAGATTCCCTAGACCATACTTTCTACCGCATCGAAAAATATCGATCACAACCAAAGTTATAAATAGTGATATCGTGAACGTAAATGTGAGCTAGTTATAACTTATGACGTATCAGTATAAAGCATGGCAACGCGCTTTGTTAATCTGTTCTTGCTCGCGCACGTGCAATCTCTTGATGTTGCTAAGCAACGACGCAGGTAACCTTGAATGAAATTACCCCATTATTTTAACGTTTATTTTACCTCACTTCCGACGTTAATTATAGAAAATTTAAAGCCTTAATTAAAATTCTAAGAATACTATCTCCTATTCCTATCCTTTTTCACAACCCTGCTAAAAATTGCGAGTTTTCAACTCTATTTGCGAGCTGAAATTGACCTCACCAGAGGGTCGGTTTTTGGTCAATTTTCAGTGTCCCTGTTGCCGGGGGGGATTTCGTCAAGTTTAAAATATAGTATAGATGGTTAGATTAGATGTTTAGCGACCATTTTGATCATGGAATTGCTTATTTTAACTCTAAAAGTACTGATGGCAAGGAACTGTGTTGATATACGTACCTGACTATATCGAAGTCATTCGAAGTGTAAAAACAGAATTATTTTGGCATTTTCAGGTAATCTCATTTGTTTGTCTCTTCAAAATATTTAAAAAACTTTATCATGAACTTTCAAAAGTCCCGCCGTCTTTTCCACCTTTATAAGCCCCCTCCCGGGTTGCAACATTGCCACGTTACGCAAATAATTGCAGCGCTAACGAAATATTTGCCATCTTAGCAAAATATGCGCCGTGTTATGATGTATTTGCCAGGCTGCGCGTGATGATGCAAATATTTCATAAGGAGGCGAATTTTACGTTAGGAAAATGCGCATTCTTAGCAAAATATTTGCCAAACGGTCTGACGCGCGTTGCACGCTTTTTAAAGTTTGTTTACGCGAGAATGAAATATTCGCATTGTTAGCAAAATATTCGCCTCCTTATAATTTATTTGCGCGAGAGTTAAATCTACGCTTTCTTAGCAAAATATTCGCCACCTTATAATTTATTTGCGCGAGAGTTAAATCTACGCTTTCTTAGCAAAATATTCGCCACCTTATAATTTATTTGCGGGAGATTTAAATCTACGCTTTCTTAGCATAATATTTGCCGCCTTATAATTTATTTGCGGGAGAGTTAAGTCTACGCTTTCTTAACAAAATATTTGCCGCCTTATGTTTTACAAATACATGTCCTTATAGTTATATTTATGTTTGAACTACTCATGTTAACATATTGATTTAATATTTGTTGAACTGGAAGGCACGGTAATTGAACTTTAGCTCTTTATACACTGAAGTACACCAAGAAGCTACCTATCAATCTTTAAGTTCAAAGTTGTTATAGTGTTAGCAGTTAAAACTTTGAACTTCATCCCGTTTCAAATTTCAAACTTCAGTACGAATTATTGCACTTATGCGCCGGACGCCGTTTATATTTATAATGAGGTCCAGAACACACGCTTAAAGTTAATATGTGTTTATTTACCAATTGAACTTTAGTTGATGTTAATTATAACTGTGTACGATTATAACGGTAACAGCTTCGATGTTTTTACAAAACAGCATATTCCTAACTTAAGTGCGGTACCTATGACCTAGACTTTACTCCGCTAGAAACAATAAAATTCAAAGAATTGGACACAAGGGAAGCTACCTAGCGAACTTAAGTGTTCGAAATAGAACTTAGAGTTTCAGTATGTCCGTATCGCGCGTTTCAAACCACAGCACGCGAATCAATAGGTAATGCCGGATATAATGAGCTGGCACACACGTTGAATAATGTATGATTATATTCATTTACCCATTGTAGCATGTTCTCATGCACTAACAACTAAGTGCTGTGCATCGTGCGAACGACAACTTCGAAGTCTTTGCACTTGCAGAACCTGAACATTACCGGAACTAAAGTTGACCAGAACTAAAGTCAACTACTGAACACGCACTGAAGTCCACCAGGGGAATATATTGAAATATCTAATCTGACGAACTAAAGTCGTCCGATGAAGTCATTGTGCGCTTCAGCTACCACAATTTTTATTATCACCTGGCCTCACATATTGGAATTATGCTAAAAACTAGTAAAAAGTGAAAGCGATCATGATGTGTAGGTACGACACCGACTTTACGTTTAATTTTAACACAATACATTGATCAATCAATATGATTGCAACCAGGTACCGATCAAATATTATATTATTAAGAGGTAGTAAGATTTAAATATTGACACAATTATATAACATCACAACATGGTGAAAATATGTTTATTTTGTTAAAGAACAATTATTATATTATTAGTATTACTCCTTGTGAATTAAGTTATGTTCATAAAATAGCTAATTCATCTATGGATATGATGATCCAGTAACATCATATCCTAATTGAGTTACGTTTCTTTACAAACTTAAAACTTCGTGATATTTCAATCGATTTTACTCGAATTCTTTAAAAAATATTTGCCAAACGGTCTGACGCGCGTTGCACGCTTTTTTAGTTTGTTTACGCGAGAATGAAATCTTCGCATTGTTAGCAAAATATTCGCCTCCTTATAATTTATTTGCGCGTGAGTTAAATCTACGCTTTCTTAGCAAAATATTCGCCTCCTTATGATTTATTTGCGCGAGGATTGAATACGCGCGTTTTTAAGTTCTTAGCAAAATATTTATTTGAACGAAAGCTCAAAATTTACCGAGAAAGCGACTTTTTTATTAATTCATTTTGATGACTGTTTCTGATCAGAAATTGCACGAAATATCGATTTAACTAGATTTCAGAACCTATAAACAATTCCTTATCCCTCAAAATTGATTTTTTATAGTTAATACGAGCAACAAGCAACATATATTTTGATCCTATGGTTCTACTCATGATATGACCTAGGGAGTTAGGCTGAAACCGAAAGATCGAGGCAATCGAACAGGTACTAACACAATTTTCAGATAGAAATGTTCGTTGCAATATGTTTATTGCAGCTTTGCAACTTGAGCGAAGTAAAGAGAAAAGTACGAAAAAACACAACAGGCAAGCAACTCATTTTAGTGACTATTCCTCATTCAACTGCTAACGTTGCACGAGAAATCGATTTTAGTTGGTTTTACAGCCAAATAACGCTTTTACGCTTCCTTATTCCTGAAAATTATTATGTTACTCAAACAAACAACCTCGCTCTAGTCCTAATGCTCTCTGGTCCTGACTTTCTCTCTCTGATCCTGACTCTCAGTCTCTCTCTGACCCTGACTCTCTCTCTGGACCTGACTCTCTCTCTGGTCCTGACTCTCTCTCTCTGGTCCTGACTCTCTCTCTTATCCTGACTCTCTCTCTGGTTCTGACTCTCTCTCCTCTGGTCCTACCTCTGTATGATTTTGGGCCTCGCTCTGGTCCTGCCTCTCGTGTCCTGACTCTCTCTGGTCCTGACTCTCTTTGGTCCTGACTCTCTTTGGTCCTGACTCCCTTTCTCTGGTACTGCCTCTCTATGGTTTTGGGCCTCACTCTGGTTCTAATTCTCTCTAGTCCTGACTCTCTCTCTCTGGTCCTGACTCTCTCTGGTTGTGTGCCTCGCTCTAGTCTGAGTCTCTTTCTGGTTGGGACTCTCTCTGGTCCTTACTCTCTCTCTGGTCCTGACTCTCTCTCTGGTCCTGACTCTCTCTCTGGTCCTGACTCTCTCTCTCTCTGGTCGGTCCTGGCTCTCTCTCTCTGGTCCTGACTCTCTCTGATCCTGAATCTCTCTCTGGTCCTGGCTCTCTCTCTGGTCCTGCCTCTCTATGATTTTGGGCCTCGCTCTGGTCCTGACTCTCTCTGGTCCTGACTCTCTCTCTCTCTCTCTCTGGTCCTGACTCTCTTCTCTCTCTGGTCCTGACTCTCTCTCTCTCTGGTCCTGCCTCTCCATGATTTTGGGCCTCGCTCTGGTCCTGACTCTCTCTGGTCCTGAATCTCTCTCTCTCTCTCTGGTCCTGACTCTCCCTGGGTTTCAGACTTGCTCTGGTCCTGACTCTCTCTCTCTGGTCCTGCCTCTCTGTGATTTTGGGCCTCGCTCTGGTCCTGACTCTCTCTGGTCCTGACTCTCTCTGGTCCTGACTCTCTCTCTCTCTGGTCCTGAATCTCTCTGTGTTTCAGACTTGCTCTGGTCTTGACTCTCTCTCTGGTCTTGACTCTCTCTCTGGTCCTGACTCTGTCTCTCTCTAGTCCTGACTCTCTCTCTCTGGTCCTGACTCTGTCTGGTCCTGACTCTCTCTCTGGTCCTGACTCTTTCTCTCTCTGGTCGGTCCTGGCTCTCTCTCTCTGGTCCTGATTCTATCTCTGATCTCTCTTTCTCTGATCTCTCTTTCTCTGATCTCTCTTTCTCTGATCTCTCTTTCTCTGATCTCTCTTTCTCTGATCTCTCTCTCTCTCTCTCTCTCTCTCTCTCTCTCTCTCTCTCTCTCTCTCTCTCTCTCTCTCTCTCTCTCTCTCTCTCTCTCTCTCTCTCTCTCTCTCTCTCTCTCTCTCTCTCTCTCTCTCTTTCTCCCTTTCTCTCTCTCTCTCTCTCTCTCTCTCTCTCTATGGTCCTGACTCTCTCTCTTTTGTCATGACTCTCTTTGGTCCTGACTCTCTCTCTGGTCCGGACACTCTCTGGTCCTGACTGTCTTTGGTCCTAACTCTCTCTCTCTGGTTCTGACTGTCTCTGGTCCTGAGTGTATCTTGTCTTGGCTGTCTCTTTTGTCATGACTCTCTTTGGTCCTGACTCTCTCTCTCTCTGGTCCTGACTCTCTCTGGGTTTCAGACTTGATCTGGTCCTGACTCTCTCTCTCTCTCTGGTCTTGACTCGCTCTCTGGTCCTGACTCTCTCTCTCTGGTCCTGCCTCTCTATGATTTTGGGCCACGCTCTGGTACTGACTCTCTCTGGTCCCGACTCTCTCTTGTCCTGACTCTCTCTCTGGTCCTGACTCTCTTTGGTCCTAACTCTCTCTCTCTGGTTCTGACTGTCTCTGGTCCTGAGTGTATCTTGTCTTGGCTGTCTCTGGTCCTGACTCTCTCTGGTCCTGACTCTCTCTGGTCCTAACTCTCTCTTTCTCTGGTCCTGAATCTCTGTGTGTTTCAGACTTGCTCTGGTCCTGACTCTCTCTCTGGTCCTGACTCTCTCTCTCTCTGGTCGGTCCTGGCTCTCTCTCTGGTCCTGATTCTTTCTCTGATCTCTCTCTCTCTCTCTCTCTCTCTCTCTCTCTCTCTCTCTCTCTCTCTCTCTCTCTCTCTCTCTCTCTCTCCCTCTCTCTCTCTCTCTCTCTCTCTCTCTCTCTCTCTCTCTCTCTCTCTCTCTCTCTCTCTCTCTCTCTCTCTCTCTCACTCTCTCTCTCTCTCCCTCTCTCTCTCTCTCTCTCTCTCTCTCTCTCTCTCTCTCACTCTCTCTCTCACTCTCTCTCTCTCTCTCTCTCTCTCTCTCTCTCTCTCTCTCTGTCTCTCTCTCTCTCTCTTTCTCCCTTTCTCTCTCTCTTTCTCTCTCTCTGGTTTTAGGCCTAGCTCTGGTCCTGACTCTCTCTGGTCCTGACTCTCTCTCTTTTGTCATGACTCTCTTTGGTCCTGACTCTCTCTCTGGTCCGGACACTCTCTGGTCCTGACTGTCTTTGGTCCTAACTCTCTCTGGTCCTGACTGTCTCTGGTCCTGACTGTCTCTTGTCCTGACTGTCTCTGGTCCTGACTCTTTCTGGTCCTGACTCTCTCTCTCTCTGGTCCTGACTCTCTCTGGGTTTCAGACTTGATCTGGTCCTGACTCTCTCTCTCTCTGGTCTTGACTCGCTCTCTGGTCCTGACTCTCTCTCTCTGGTCCTGCCTCTCTATGATTTTGGGCCACGCTCTGGTCCTGACTCTCTCTGGTCCCGTCTCTCTCTGGTCCTGGCTCTCTCTCTGGTCCTGACTCTCTTTGGTCCTAACTCTCTCTCTGGTTCTGACTGTCTCTGGTCCTGAGTGTATCTTGTCTTGGCTGTCTCTTTTGTCAAGACTCTCTTTGGTCCTGACTCTTTCTCTGGTCCTGAGTGTATCTTGTCTTGGCTGTCTCTGGTCCTGACTCTCTCTGGTCCTGACTCTCTCTGGTCCTGACTCTGTCTCTCTGGTCCTGAATCTCTCTGTGTTTCAGACTTGCTCTGGTCCTGACTCTCTCTCTGGTCTTGACTCTCTTTCTGGTCCTGAATCGATTTCTCGTGCAACGTTAGCAGTTAAATGAGGAATAGTCACCAAAATGAGTTGCTTGCCTGCTGTGTTTTTTTGTACTTTGCTCTTTACTTCGCTCAAGTTGCAAAGCTGCAATAAACATATTGCAACGAACATTTCTATCTGAAAATTGTGTTAGTACCTGTTCGATTGCCTCGATCTTTCGGTTTCAGCTTAACTCCCTAGGTCATATCATGAGTAGAACCATAGGATCCAAATATATGTTGCTTGTTGCTCGTATTAACTATAAAAAATCAATTTTGAGGGATAAGGAATTGTTTATAGGTTCTGAAACCTAGTTAAATCGATTTTTCGTGAAATTTCTGATCAGAAACAGTCATCAAAATGAGTTAATAAAAAGGTCGATTTCTCGGTAAATTTTGAGCTTTCGTTCAAATAAATATTTTGCTAAGAACTTAAAAACGCGCGTATTCAATCCTCGCGCAAATAAATCATAAGGAGGCGAATATTTTGCTAAGAAAGCGTAGATTTAACTCTCGCGCAAATAAATTATAAGGAGGCGAATATTTTGCTAACAATGCGAAGATTTCATTCTCGCGTAAACAAACTTAAAAAAGCGTGCAACGTGCGTCAGACCGTTAGGCAAATATTATTTAAAGAATTCGAGTAAAATCGATTGAAATATCACGAAGTTTTAAGTTTGTAAAGAAACGTAACTCAATTAGGATATGATGTTACTGGATCATCATATCCATAGATGAATTAGCTATTTTATGAACATAACATAATTCACAAGGAGTAATACTAATAATTGTTCTTTAACAAAATAGACATATTTTCACCATGTTGTGATGTTATATAATTGTGTCAATATTTAAATCTTACTACCTCTTAATAATATAATATGTGATCGGTACCTGGTTGCAATCATATTGATTGATCAATGTATTGTGTTAAAATTAAACGTAAAGTCGGTGTCGTACCTACACATCATGATCGCTTTTACTTTTTACTAGTTTTTAGCATAATTCCAATATGTGAGGCCAGGTGATAATAAAAAATTGTGGTAGCTGAAGCGCACAATGACTTCATCGGACGACTTTAGTTCGTCAGATTAGATATTTCAATATATTCCCACTTTAGTTCTGATCAACTTTAGTTCCGGTAATGTTCAGGTTCTGCAAGTGCAAAGACTTCGAAGTTGTCGTTCGCACGATGCACAGCACTTAGTTGTTAGTGCATGAGAACATACTACAATTGGTAAAACTAAATGAATATAATCATACATTATTCAACGTGTGTGCCAGCTCATTATATCCGGCATTACCTATTGATTCACGTGCTGTGGTTTGAAACGTGCGATACGGACGTACTGAAACTCTAAGTTCTATTTCGAACACTAAAGTTCGCTAGGTAGCTTGAAGCTTCCCTAGTGTCCAATTCTTTGAATTTTATTGTTTCTAGCGGAGTAAAGTCTAGGTCATAGGTACCGCACTTAAGTTAGGAATATGCTGTTTTGTAAAAACATCGAAGCTGTTACCGTTATAATCGTACACAGTTATAATTAACATCAGCTAAAGTTCAATTGGTAAATAAACACATATTAACTTTAAGCGTGTGTTCTGGACCTCATTATAAATATAACCGGCGTCCGGCGCATAAGTGCAATAATTCGTACTGAAGTTTGAAATTTGAAACGGGATGAAGTTCAAAGTTTTAACTGCTAACACTATAACAACTTTGAACTTAAAGAATGATAGGTAGCTTCTTGGTGTACTTCAGTGTATAAAGAGCTAAAGTTCAATTACCGTGCCTTCCAGTTCAACAAATATTAAATCAATATGTTAACATGAGTAGTTTAAACATAAGTATAAGTATAACTATAAGGACATGTATTTGTAAAACATAAGGCGGCAAATATTTTGTTAAGAAAGCGTAGACTTAACTCTCCCGCAAATAAATTATAAGGCGGCAAATATTATGCTAAGAAAGCGTAGATTTAACTCTCCCGCAAATAAATTATAAGGTGGCGAATATTTTGCTAAGAAAGCGTAGATTTAACTCTCGCGCAAATAAATTATAAGGTGGCGAATATTTTGCTAAGAAAGCGTAGATTTAACTCTCGCGCAAATAAATTATAAGGAGGCAAATATTTTGCTAACAATGCGAATATTTCATTCTCGCGTAAACAAACTTTAAAAAGCGTGCAACGCGCGTCAGACCGTTTGGCAAATATTTTGCTAAGAATGCGCATTTTCCTAACGTAAAATTCGCCTCCTTATGAAATATTTGCATCATCACGCGCAGCCTGGCAAATACATCATAACACGGCGCATATTTTGCTAAGATGGCAAATATTTCGTTAGCGCGGCAATTATTTGCGTAACGTGGCAATGTTGCAACCCGGGAGGGGGCTTTTATAATAAATACCCCATATCTTCCAAGTTTTTAGTCCCTTTTTTAATACAGCATGCCTCAGATTCATTTTTCATAGTTGCAATGTTGCATTATGATTATTATATCAGACAAAAGAAAACATACTCAGTAGGGTGATTATTTTACTGCCTTAAATTGAATTTAAAAGACCCATGATAAGCATAAATGACTATGGGGGTCTGCCTCGAGGAGTTAATAAACATTCAAGTCATTTTGGTATAGTTAGTACCTGCCACAAGCAATGCGATCAATTACTCTAACATTTACTGACCGGAAGTATTATAAGTATTGCCGTTACAAATCAGGTCATGTTTTCCAGATCCGAGGCACCCATTGATAGATGGGTTTTGATGTCCCAATAATAAGATGGGGTTTTTTATCGGTGTGCACCAGACTTATAATCAGTATTGTCCTGACTCCCGACTTTAGTCGGTAGACCGCTGTAGACTACGCAGTATCAAACAATTACATTTTACACATACAGCATACTTCATGATTGCGATGTGCTTCAGAAACTGTGCTATGGGTCAAGGACCATTTTCAATCTTTTACGGTTCTTTTTCGCATACTATTTAATACTTTATCACTTAACACATATCATATTGCCGTTGAGATCAATATTATATTATACAGATCTCAATTCATATTATATGTTCCCATACTATTTCATATTTATCTTATATTAAATGTTAAAGACTATAAAATGAGAGCCGGTGCTCTTTCGTGTGGCCTAGGGTGGCGAACCCCAGTTATTTAAGTTAATATATATTTGTACAGACTAGTACAGAACACCAGTAAATATAAAGATAGAAGAAGAAGATTGACACATACCAGCGACCGATCCTGCGATGTATCCTTCTGTCATATTAACTTTACCATTTCATACCAGCTGTGTCGTTGTTAGTTTTGCTTGGTGTTGTGGGCCGCGTGTGGCTAACTATTCACACGGTGGACAGTCAGCAGAGTCTTTTGCTTCCCGACATACCTCTGTCAGAGAATTTGTGTGAGGTAATAACATAAACAAAACATCAAATTAGTTTAATACTATAAATTAGGACCTCAAATTAGTTTAATACTATAAATTAGGACCTCTTTGTAGAAATGTTGATTTAAGTTATAAAGTCATATGGCTGCGTAATGTACAGGCATGCAAAAGCGGCTGGAAGCTGCATCAGTAATGAGATTATTTAGCAGGAGACTGAAATAATTATGAAAATAATGGCTTCACTACGTGGATATTTAAGGTCATGCTGAAAAGCTCTTTATGATTGTGATGCAATAACAGATTTTACATGGTACGTAAATGATAAAAATAACATAAATTAACCTTCATCTAAGGTGATAGATGGGATGTTATTTTGGATTTCAGCCAATGCATTGGTTGCTTTGTGTTGAGTAAATATTGATATAATTTCATACGGATATCAACAACCAACATAATAATAATAATAACAAATTAATGTTGTTTTTATACAGCACTAAAAAATAATTTAAATTTAAACCTTATGCTCAGCTGTAAAGGATACTTAAATGACAGTAGAGATTGTGCATCTCACCTTGGACGAGGGTGAAACTATAAAGAAAACAGAAGTGTAAAACTGCAAATTAAGGCCAGGGGGGGGGGGGTAGAGGCTTCAAAAAATGCAAAAAATATTATGCTTTGAATCAATATATATTTTTGTGGTGGATACTTTGCCACCACTCATTTGTCTGTAGCTATTTTACTTTTTTTTATAAATGAGGTTAACCAATTCTCATTTAACCTCATTTTTTTGATAAATCGATAATGGAGGGCAGAAATATTAATGCCATTACAACTGAAAACTACGATAAGCTTTGTTTTCATTGTTTTTGTGTTATTTCAGCAGTTAAACTTTGAAAAATATACAAATAAAGGCAAAATACTCAAAAATCACATAACATAAAAAACAGTTTTTTGCCGCTCCTGAAAACCTCGAATTTTTGACTTCAAAATCTATCTTCTCCTAGAGTTTTTATCCATTTCTCCTCAAATTTGGAACTTATGTTCCTGACATAAATTTAAAAGTTTGTTATGTAACGATTGTTGTAATTTCGCTCCTAACTCTTTTTATGAGGTTAACCATTTTAAATTTTGTAACCTGCACTCATGGTTAACCTCATATCTCAGCTTTGGAGCAAGATATCATAAATCGTTACATAACAAAAACTCAAAATACCTTGAAGAACATTGTTGCCAAGTTACAAGGTTCTAAGTCATAAACTGAAAAAGAAGATAGGTTTTGAACACGATTTCATTTAAAGTTTTCATTTACAATAGAATTACACCTGTAAACCTCAAGATTCAACGCGCGATATCTTAAAATAGGAAACTTTGTTTTCGGTAAGGACAAAAGCATTTGAAAATTTAGATCAAGCTCTAAAACATATCTCAAAATCTCAAAATCGACCTCGGACCCCCCCCCCCCCCCCCCCCCCTCCCCCCCCCCCCCCCCCCCCCTGTGGCCTTAAATCCTGACTAGATAAGGCAGATACGCTTAACAAGAGGATATCCAAGAAAGGTTAGCAGGTTAGCGACAGTGGCGTAACGAAGGGCCCTGCTGACCCTGCTGTGCAGGGGGGCGCCGTCTTAGGGGGGCACCAAATCGTCGTTTGAATGTGGGACAATTTCGAAAACTTAACTAAAGTACTAGCAAAACTGCGCGTTTTGCTCTAGATACACACTTTTTTAGAGATTTTACCGGCGTATCCTCTTAAATCGCCTAATTTTTTCAATCTTAGGGAGGGGCACCAAAAGGAGAGGGGGCGCCAACAGGGGGGCGCCTTTTCGGCAGGGGGGCGCCAACAGGCAACGTTACGCCACTGGTTAGCGACAGCAGACATGATAATTATTCATTATTAATTAGCAAACATAAACTATTTCAAACAAACGTTTAACCCTCGTCAATTGTTATATGAGAACCTATTAAGCTCTGTCAATTATCAAGCAATTGTTATTTGCAGCTGTGAAAAGTATACAATAAATGAGTTTTTAACAATTGGTATAAGTTTAAATATGTATTCATTAAGGAGGCAAGTTTTGTTTGGACATGTGGTTTTTACCAGTGCTGGGAACTGCATAACTACTAAAGAGGGTGATTATCATCGATGTAGGAAGATTGTGAGGAGGGGGGATTTTTTTAAAATAAAATAATAAGTGTGGTTGGAAAAAGAAATAAATATTTTAGTCTCTCTTAGAAAATTTGCTTTTCAGGATTGAAATTTGGCAATGTGAATTGATAAATCCGGGAAATTTTTTTTGAACCAATTTAGTATTTTTGGGGCGATTTTGAAAATATAAATATGCTTACAATAATCAATCTCAAAGAGGGTGCAAACTGTGAGGAACGTGCTTTCCTACACCAATGGGTTTTTTTACATTAACAAAGCATCCGGAGACTTCACAGTTGTCTGTGGTGGCTAAGATTCCCTATTGACTCTTTCCTTGCTGGACCGTGGCCTCATTGGGGGCCCCCAGCCTGCCATTCCGCCAAATCTCTATTATAGCCACGTACACCGGGGTCAAGGTTTGTTCCCTATTTAGGAGAACATCTTTACTCATGGGTGGCACTCAGCCTGTCATCCCGCTGCATTTTTACATGTTTATGAACATTATGGCCTGGGGTCCCAGATATAGAACATCTATGGTGTCAACAGATTACAATAGGCAAGAAGAGGTTCCCTTGGATTTAAGGTAGGAACAGTGTACGGTTGGGGACGGCCAAGTGGTTAACACTCGTGGGATCGCTGGCATAACTCTCAACAGTGCACTAACCTGAGGAATAGCCTCACCACAAACTACCATTATATATTATATCAAAAGACTCCATTTACATAAAAAAAATAGCAAGACACAACTCCAGAAACCTCAATATTCCGACATTTGCACTAACTTATTATTGAACAGTACACATCCAAATTGAAATCAATAAACAATGGTTTAAAGCTGTTATGTAAGCGCTTACAATTTATCCATGATTTGATAAAACAAATGAATTGAATGTGTGGAAACTGCATGTGCAGCATGGCTAAAAAATATTTACCTGGGGACCCAAGGCTATTATGTTCATAAACAGCGGAATGACCGGCTGAGCGGCAAGCGCCGCCCAGTAAGAAAATCCGCGTCCGGCCACATGATAATAGTATGCAATTTATATTGCAATGCAATATCATATCATTGTTTCCATTAGTATAAAAAGTATAATATCAAAATAATTGTAATGTTGATTGTTCATGGAGGATTTCGCCGCTTCGACGCGCCGCGCAAACTAGCATTTTTTTGCTGATGAGGCGAGATCAAAAATCGAATTGCTCTGCTTCGCAAAGCTAACGCAACAATTTGGAAGGGTTGACATCGTCCGCGTCAATCAAATGCAATGTAACTTTAGCTTTGTATAATGTAATAGCTAAAACGTAAAACTTGATTTTTATATATTATAATTGGAGGACTTCGACGCGCCGCGCGAACTAGCATACTTGCATCGCGCGCAAAGCAATGATCTCGACGGATTGACATCGTCAATCAAATATTAAAATCAATTAATTTTGAATTTGAATTTTAGGATTGGGATCAGAGCTTTCATGTTTCAGTCAAAGATTACAATTTTAAAAGCCGTTAATGTTTACTGTTTACTGTTCAATGTTGTATGATTAGATTTTATACTAAAACGAGTTGAACTGGTCATGTGCTATGTTAGGTCATACAACACAATTTTTGCTACTATACTGTCTACAGGCCTGGAGGAGAGTTTTCAAGCTGGAAGAACCTGCTAGACAGACTGCCAGCCAAAATAGACACGATCTCAGAAAATACAACGGTGCCAATCATTTACGTTGTTGGCAGTGGCGTAACGCTGCCCCGGCCACCCCGGCTACGCCGAGGGGCGCCAAAAAGGCGCCCTTTCTCAACGAAAAGTGACCCCTAGGTTTTTCTTGAATTTTTCTTGAATTTTTCTTGAATTTTTTTTGAATTTTTTTTGAATTTTTTTTGAATTTTTCTTCAATTTTATGACCTCTCACTGAAAATAACGCCTTATTGGTGTATTCCCCTGTCCAATTTAGCGCTCAGTCGGTGTGAAAAAAATTTGTAGGGTCCTTTTTTTGCTCCAGGGGCGCAAAAAAGCTGTAGGGGGCGCCAAAAAAGGGTACCCGACCTTTTTTTAGGGACACAAAAAATTTGGGCGACTTTTTCGAGCCGCCGGGGGGGGGGGGGGGGCGCCAAATTAAATCAGTTACTAACGCTACGCCACTGGTTGTTGGAGGGGTATAATAGCAAACTAGCGTGTGACTGATTTTAGAAAAACACAAATTTTTTGAAATGGGACCTCCAGATCAGTAAAATTAGGTGCGCTGGAGGAGCTGCATGAGTCTACTACTTTTTAATATTTGTCACCCTAACCCTAACCCTGATGGCTAACTTTGATTCACGATGTCAATCCTTTGCAGCTCGGCAGCCAAGTGGTGCATCTCGCCGATCAACCGCCCACTAGTGCATCTCGCTACAACGGCTAACCCTAACCCTAACCAATAACTAGACTGGGTGGGCCCATTTTAGTATTTCTCATCACATTGAGTCCAGTCTTTGTTATAGTATTTATAACAAAAACTATGTCTGTTGTCCATATCTAACCAGTGTTGCTCTATCCAGAGCCCTTGCGCTTGTGAAACAAGCGCGCCCGCAGTGGCGCGAAAGCACATGGTTAGATGAAAACCAGTGCAAGTGACAAGCAACTACTTATCAAAAATATCTGAGACATTTGAGTTCATGCTTTAAAAATTTATTTTGAGTTCAAAAGGCTAAAAAGGATCAGTGTTAAGTTTATAAATTGACTTTTGCTACTACAAAGTTCTTATGATCCAACTGCAATATCATTTTGATGCAAAGAATGACCGATAACAACAATAATGAAAATGTGGCGCAGGTTCAGGGATAGATAACACAGTACAGCCCTAGCCAGAATGATCATTTTTTATTCGAGAAATGTACAGTGAAACAAATTTTTTCATCCTTTAACGAAAAAGTGGTTTGATAAGTTATTGAAGCCTAAATATAATTTTTAACTGAAAAGCTAAGTATTTTGAAATCTATCCTGGAAAATGTTGGACATTTTTTTCTAGATCCAGCAGGGGAATAATTTTCTTCATGGGGGGCCATAATCTTAGAGTTTTCTAAAAGTAGCATGCACTGTGCTCTACAGCCTGAATGTCAAAACAGCGTGACATTCAGACGTGTCGACTGTCGTCGTGTCAACCATGCCGGTAAAAATATTCAATGTTTATGGCAGGATTAGATGGCCGGAAGCTGCATCCTTTCCAGAATCTGTTGACAGATGGATATTAATGGAGGACAGTTCGCCGTTGGCAAAACATTTTGCTCGTTAAGCCTAGCTGAGAAATTAAGAGATCATTTTCAAACACAGTTTCAAGAAATATTCAAATAATAGTAATAAGATTTTAAGTGTATTATATTTATAGTGCCTGCTAGCAGCTCTTGCGAAATAGGTATAGTTCTTCTTTTAAACTTTACCAAATGCATCGCAAAGACAAATCAGGTGGAGGTGTTGCCATAATCTACAAATCATGTGTTCGTCTAATCAAAGTTTTTGCCAACAATGACGGTTCATTTGAGGCAATTAATGCAAAACTGAAACTGGTTGATGGGTCTGTCGTATTCTGCTCTTGTATCTACCGTCCACCTGGGTCCTTGGGAAAGTTCCTTTCTGATTTTGAAGATTTCTTGACTGATGCATTTTCTAAATACAAGCATTTCTTGTTATGTGGGGATGTTAATATGCACCTAGATAGAATCTCTGCTCATGTGAGTGAGTGGAGCACCATACTATCATCTTTTGGGCTTCATCAACTTGTCTTCTCACCAACACATAAAAAAGGTCACATTCTTGATCCTGTCATTGCTTCACACAAAGTAGTAGATCAAAATTCCGTTGAGGTGATGCAAAACATGGCCAAAAGCTTTCCATCCTGTGACCATTATCCAATTGTATTTCAGCTTCATAAGCCTCCTGACATTGACAAATGTGAAAAAGTCATACGCTTTAGAAAGATCAGAGACATAGATCAGGAACAATTTAAAGGTGATTTATCTGTTGCTCTATCTGAGTTGGTTTTTGAAGGAAAGAGCTTCTGTGATGTTGTGACTCAATTTGATAATGGGTGTCAACATATTCTCAATTTACATGCTCCAGAATATTCCAAAACCATCAAAGATATTCCCACAGCCCCCTGGTTTGATGGTGAATACAAAGTTGCAAGAGCCGAAAGAAGGAAAGCAGAGACAGCCTGGAAAAAGTCAAGTCTTGACATTGATCATTCTATCTTCGTTCATTTGCGAGAGCACTGTTCAGAGCTAGCTGACAAAAAGAAAAAGCTGTTTTTCTCTAATACTTTCCAAAAATACAAACATTCACAAAAGAGCCTCTACAAATTTGTAGACACTTTCCTGGATAAAGAAAAGAACCTCACATTACCATCTTCAGAAAATCTTCAGGAAACTGTAAATGACTTTAACCATTATTTTACTGAAAAAATTGAGAAAATCCGTGCGTCATTTCCCAACACTACTGTGACTAATAGCTCTCCAAACTTTAATGGCCAGGCATTATCTGAATTTAGAAAAGCTACTATTTTTGAAGTTAAAGAAATGATCAAAGAATCTGGCATCAAAACCTCATCGATTGATCCACTACCTAAAGAACTCCTGTCAGAGCACCTTGAGCTAATCCTTCCTACCCTTTGTGATATTATCAACGTTTCCCTTTCAACCGGGAGTATGGAGGGAATCAAGCTAGCACATCTCACTCCTCTTATCAAAGGTGATTCCCTAGACACTGAGAACTTAAAGAATTATAGGCCCATCTCTAATCTTACATTCATCGGTAAACTCATTGAGCGCTTTGTATTAAAATGCCTTAATGAACATCTAACCAAGAATAATCTCAACATTGACCACCAGTCTGGTTACAAAAAGCATCATAGCACAGAGACACTCCTCATTACCATAGTCAATGACCTCCTTATAGCCAGCAATGAAAACACAGCTACAGTTGTAATGCTTTTAGACCTGAGTGCTGCATTCGACACTGTTGATCACAGCAAATTAATCAACATATTGAAGTATGAGATTGGGATTGAGGGAACTGCCCTAAAATGGTTCACCAGCTTCATCCGTGGCCGTTGTCAAAAAGTCAAGATCGGTGACCTAGAATCTGAAGAAATTGTTATAAAGTTTGGTGTCCCACAGGGCTCAGTCCTTGGCCCTGTGTTGTTCAATATCTACATCCGCTCCATTTATTCTTCTGTAAAATCAAAGCAATTTCTGATCCATGGCTATGCTGATGATCATCAGATTTACAAGTCATTTTCGTCTGCTACAGAATATGAGGTCCTTAGCGAAGACCTGCCTTCCTGCTTTCAAGAAATTGAGAGCTGGATGACGGATCACTTCCTTCTACTGAATCCTACAAAAACGGAGATTATAGTTTTTGGTTCAAAACGTTTATTGTCGGAATTAGAAATTGGTGGTGTCTTCCTTAAACCTTCTGTCTGTATAAGACTCGTTAATGTTACTAAAAACCTTGGCTTTACATTGGATTCCTCACTGTCTCTAAATCCTCAAATAAAGAAGCTCAAAGCTGCAAACTGCCACAAGATGCGAAACATTGCAAAGATGAAACCATTCCTCTCTGAAGCCCAAATGCAAATCATCGTACAATCTCTTGTTATTAGTTCCCTTGACTACTGCAATGTACTTTACTTTGGAACGAATCATTCTGTTTTGAAACAGCTACAATCTCTGCAAAACAGAGCATGCCGCTTAGTTAAAGGTCTAAAGAGGAGAGAAGAAGTTGAGCCCTACTTAAAAGAACTTCATTGGCTCAAGGTACAAGAACGTATTGAATTTAAAATACTCCTGCTAACTTTCAAACTGCTCCATGGGCTAGCACCTTCATACCTGTCAAACCTTGTCAAGTACAATTCCAGTGGTGGCAGAGATGTGTCTCTTCATTGCCCCATAAACAGTCCACCCAGAGCCTTCTCTTCATTTGCTCCAAGATTATGGAACAATCTTCCTCAAGAAATCAGGAAATGTGTAAACATCAAGGACTTTAAGGGAAAACTTAAAGCTCACCTGTTTAGAAAGTCCTTTGATTTGTACTGAGTAACTTATCCATTATAGAAGGTTTTAAAAAACAATTTACATCTATAGCAGGTCATTTTTACGCTTTAAATTAAATTATTTTAGGCTTTTAATTTTCAAGGATTTTTGGGCAACATTTAAGATAATAATCTTTTTTGCGTTTCATTGTGTCTGCCAACAAAATTGTATTGTAGGTCAGAAGAGGAGGCTCTATCCTGGGACACCAACATTTTTTGGGTTGGCACCCGGGAGAAAGCTACCTTATTCTTTGTATTTTGTCTCAAGTACTAGAGCATTTTTTTCCTCTCTTTTTCACCGTCTCTACTTTTATGTTGCCCAGATTGTTTGGTATGACTGTATTGGATCTTCAGATATAATTTTTATCGTCAGTTACTGTTCTGCAGTAATCTCTTTCAATCAATTTTTATTGTATATTGGAGTATTCAGATTGTTTGTATATTTGGAGTCTATAGAATTTTTATAGAATTTTTAATATTTTAGGGAATTTCATTTTTATTATCCTGATTTTTACATTTGATAGGCTGATGAGTTTCATACTGTGATTTCTTGCAGTCATCATCCTTTCCTCAAGTCCTCTGTTAGAAAACCTGCTAAGCCTGCTTGTTAGGTGCATCTGCCTTATTTAGTCACGATTTTATTAACAGTTTTTAACGTCTGTTTTCTGAACAGTTTCTTGTTTCACCTAAGGCAAAGATGCACACTCTCGTTAACTTAAGTATCATTTACAGCTGAGCATAAGGGTTAAATTTAAATTATTTAACCTTTTGGTGCTGTATAAAAATAACATTAATTTATTATTATTATTATTATTAAGAAGGAATACATATTGGATTCTTTGAAAGAATTTCAGGAAATTTGCTTTATGGGTTGAAATCTAGCAATGTGAAATGATCAATCCAGTAAGACTTTGCTGTGCCAATTTAGGGGTGAAAGAATGAAGTTCTGCAATTTTTTTAAATATGCTCACAATAGTAGGTCTCAAAGAGGGAGAATCTGGAAAAATTTATGAAAAATTTGCTTTTTTGAATTCTAAAAATGGGGAATGTAAATTTAGACTTCACTTAAGGCGATTTAGATAATGGCGGATAGGCCAAATGGGGCAACAAAAATTGGCCCCCTTTGGCCCCCTGCCCCCCCCCCCCCCCCCTCCCCCTCCTTTTCTGCACCCTGAGATCCAGAATCCCGGTCCACACTGATCAATGTTGGTTAATCTGTAGCTAATTGGACAGTGCTTGAAGTGTTGTCCATTACTCAATACAAATTGGCTGATTGTTAACTTATAATTATTGATTGTGTGATAGACAATCTGATCTTGACATGAACAAACTAATTTCATCTTCCCACGATTCATAGCAACTACTTTTAGCCTAAAGTATCAAAAAGGCAAGTTCAGCAGGCACATTGGGATCAATACAGTGACAAAGTCATGGCATGCCCACTGGACAGGTAACCTCTATCAGTATATCATTTCAGTGTTCATTTTATAAATATATTTACTGTTTAAAAATCAAAATAAAATTACTTCCGTCGAAGATTTAATCGTGTGTACCTTCCAAGCAATTTTTGAACCTGATGTATAAATCTCAATTCAATTTACAAATCAGTTAATTAATTTCAGTGCTGCGAGATGGAAGCAGTGTTATTAAGACTAGAGAATAATCAAGTTCAAAAAGTTGTTGGAAATGTTAAGCTGACTCTCGAATGCAAACCGAAACGTTAGTTTTAACGAGTTAAAAAAATAATGTTCGAAAATTTAGGTCTCACGAATTCAATAATTGATCCAATTTTGTTCCATGCTAATGACAAGCTGTAACTGGTTCTCTCAGAGAATCTACAGTCATGTGGAGAAGACACTATCCTGCCAGCCAGGCCTGCCATTTCTAGGTCTAGGTCTGCAACATCAGTTCATCTTCTCGTTCATGAGGCTGAGTCAGAAGTAAGTGTATTTTTCTTAATTCCTCACGACTTACGTATAGCTTTTGATTTAAATGTGATTTTCTTGAGTGACTCATAATCATATAATAGGCCACTAAAGCACGAAAACTGAAAAAAAGAAATATCATTAATTATTGTTTGTTTTCATTAAAATTTCGACCAACTTGATGTTCGCTGTCCCAATAACCTCTCCTAATAATTTTCATTAGTATTAATATGATCTGAAACCAGCTCTGAAGAAGTTTTCTGTACCTTTGATATTGCTGATTATGGACATATTGATATCGTTTTTGACATTAGTTGCTTAATTTTGGCATCTATTAACCGTTCAGAATATCTGAACATTAACCACGTGACCCATACTCTCATATGCACTGCTCACTGCACAGAAAGAAGATTTTATTGCTAGGCAGTAGGCACCATTAGGCCAATCTAATAATTACAATACACCATCGGTTAAATGGCACGGATCCAACAAGTACCTTTATGGACACGTTCATTGAAGTTTGAGGATATTGGTAAATATTAGTGACCCTACTAAATGGCACGATGATGTAAAATGTGTCACACTATAAAACTATATAAACCCTCAATGGTTAGGATAATCGTTTCATCCTCTAGATAAACTTTGTCGCATAACGATATCTTTATCAGACAATAAGATATCGTTTAAATGCGGCCGGCAGTGAGTTGTAAACTTTGTCACACTATAAAAACGTGACAGAGTTTATATGGACCCCTTGTTGCCGTGTTTGACCAAATTTTCGAATTTCAAATTTATAGGATAGTTGCATATGACTATTATCTACATATTTAGCGACTTTTTTCGTTAAATGGTAGCACCATGTAAACTCCGTCACACATTTAAGAAATTTATATGAGGGATGTTTATGACATCCTGACAAGAAATGCCGAATAGTCTAGCATTATTTTGTGAGCTGAATGTGTTTGGAATTGTTCACATATTTCATTGTTATAGGCAAATACAAATACAGAAGGCAGAAATAGGTAAATTTAGTCACATAAATTTGTATGATATCTCAACATGTGTGAAATTGAGTAAATATTAGTATACCAACTTAAACACCCTATATTACGTACTATGGATCAATTAACAATATTTCAACCATACGCCGGTCATATAAATTATTATATGGCAGTGATATGTTAACATTGGCAAAATTTCAACACCTGAACAGGGTAAAAATTTGTAAATTTCGTCACAAAAAAAATTATAACTTTATTTGCTCCGTGTTGGCAAAATAACTAATTTATCGACATAGTGATGGTGATAAAGTAACATTATATACTAATTGAGGTATGATTCTTCAAAATAGGGGCAAGAAATGTAAATTTCGTCACATCAGCCATAGCATTAGTTAGATAGATTTTCTTTCATATCAACTGCCCTTATTATAGCTAGAATGGATTTATACAGGAAATATAGAAACCCATGCCCATTTTTCATCACATTGAAATTATACTGTTGGGGCAGGAAAAGTAAATTTCGTCACATTTCGGTAAATTAGTGATATCAAACTCAGCATTGTTAAACTTGGGTTCTGATTTGCTGAAAAATAACCAACCAATAATTCCTGGAAGAAAATTGAATTTTAACTGAGGTATGGTTCTTTAAAATAGGGGCAAGAAATGTAAATTTCGTCACATACGTCATTTTAAAATTTAGATAGATTTTCTTTCATATCAATAGTCCTTATTATAGTTAGAATGGATTTATACAGGAAATATAGAAACCCATGCCAATTTTTCATCACATTGAAATTATACTGTTGGGGCAGGAAAAGTAAATTTCGTCACATTTCAGTAACTTAGTAAAATTAAACTCAGCATTGTTAAACTTGAGTTCTATTTTGCTAAACAATAACCAACCAATCATTCCTGGAAGAACATTGAATTCTAACCGAGGTATGGTTCTTCAAAATAGGGTCAAGAAATGTAAATTTCGTCACATACGAGTACGTCATTGTAAAATTTAGATACAATTTCTTTCACGTGAACAGTCCTAATTACAGTCCGAAATGATTAATACAGAGATACAGGAAATATAGAAACCCCTGCCCATTTTATAATGTATGTAATATGTTAATCACAGACTATTTCATTCCATAATCATTGTTTCCAAATTTAACCTATTTATGATGTCTTATCATTTTGTGACGATGTTTACATCAACTGCCCTATACTTGAATCAACTGTATCCGTGTATCGTCCTTATATAGAGTTTTCCCGCAAAATGTAACTTATTTACGATGTCGTATCATTTTGTGACGATGTTTACATCAACTGCCCTATACTTGAATCAACTGTATCCGTGTATCGTCCTTATATAGAGTTTTCCCGCAAAATTTAACCTATTTACGATGTCGCATCATTTTGTGACGATGTTTACAACAACTGCCCTATACTTGAATAAACCGTATCCGTGTATCGTCCTTATATAGATTTTCCCCGCAAAATGTAACCTATTTACGATTTCGTATCATTTTGTGACGATGTTTACATCAACTGCCCTATACTTGAATCAACTGTATCCGTGTATCGTCCTTATATAGAGTTTTCCCGCCTTCCAAACCAAAATCAGATATAAATGATTTCGGAAATTCACCCAGAATTTCAAATTCCATATAATGTGACAGAATTTACATAATTTCCCAATAACCAAGTGCATGTATTAGCTAACTTTTCAAAACAACATATTTTAGGGCTATGATTGGCAGAAGAACCATCAAATAATGAGTTGAAAGGGTTTTGAGGACACCTCACAGTAGAAAAGAGGTCTCGTATTCTGAGTGTGACAAAGTTTACGAAATATTGCCTTAAAGCCGTTCGATCCGTGCCCTTTAACCAATGTTGTATCATAATTGTTAGATTGACCTAATCTACTATATTTCAGACCAAGGAATGATAATTGGGCAGCTATGGTAAACAATGTCACAAAAATGTGACATTTTTTACATTATAGTGCCTAAAAGCAATACATTTTATTTTTGAGCAGTGCATATGGGAGTATGGGTCACGTGGCTAATGTTCAGAACTTATGAACACGCTAGATTAATAGATGCTGAAATTAAGCCACTATCGTCGAAAACGCTATTTTAGAAATTTACCAATATCCTCAAACTTCAATGAACGTGTCCTTATACTAACGATGTGCTCTCAAAGCTCTTTAACTCATGATTTAAGGGTACTCTGGAAGTTTGGGAAACTTATTTCTAGGGACAATACAGTTGATGTTAACATTGTCACTAAAAACGGGAGGAAAGTTAACATGTTTGTGCCTTCTGTATTTTTATTTGCTTACAACTATGTGCTATGTTAACTATTCCCAACATGTTCAAATAATGTCTCACTACTCAGCATTCCTTGTCAGGGCGCTCTAAACATGCATTCCTTATATATTTTTCGGAAATCAGTCTGGGGGCACCATTTAACAACAACAAAAAAGTCGTCGAATATGTAGGTAATTGTCAAATGTACCTATCCTATCAACTGCACATCCAAAACTGTGGTCAAACACGGCAGCAAGGGGTCCATATTTACTCCATTACATGTTATAGTGTGACAATATCACCTGACTAAGGTATCATCATGTGACAAAGTTGAGGGTTTATATAAATCATAACGACCAAGTTAACTAAACCAACTATTTTAATAGGGTTACTAATATTTTCCGATATCCTCAACTTCAAATGAACGTGTCCTTATCAACAACTGTATTATTAGTCTTCACTTTACATATCAAGCAGAGGAATTCTTACAATCCCAATGCAGCCTAATAGATCTGCAACCCCTGGACCAGTTCAAGTCCGATAAATGTTAGCCGAGTATATGTTGATTGTTGGTCTGGCAAGCTAATTACTGCGTGCGGATAAGTCGTTGTAAAATAAGTCCCCCAAGTTCCTTTAAAGTTTTGCCCGGGACTAGCAGGTCCAGGAATGGCTCTTCGTTGTCACACAATACATTTATTTACTAAATAATGTCTCTCAAAGAATTCACAAAACGTTTCCTAAATCCTAATGTCTTCCTATATTTGCCCCTGTTCCAACCTCACCTGATATAGTGATATGCAGTTCAGCAGTTACTAATAACAATAGTAGCTTCCTTCTTATCCTACACTAAAGCACTGTAGGGCGGCTAAATGGTAATGTTCTCACAACGGTGCCGGACTCATTACCTCCCACAGCTTCAGATAATGGCCTCATTAGACCTCACTCCACAAGCACTGCATCCGGGTTGTAAGTCCCACGTTTCGCGGTGTTATTGTAATAACTACACTTATTCTACACTAATAACTACAAACTCTACACACTTATAACAAACCTGTATTTTTCAGACCCACACTTTCAATCTACGCTCCTGTTACCTCTACCCGGACAAGCGGGACCCGCGCCTCATCCACGTGCACCGCGGCGCGGACGTGCGCCACTACGGCGACCACACGGATGCGCTCCAGTTCGCCACGTTGAAGCTGGCTAACGACTTCCTGCGTGAACTATGTGCGTGTAGAGGTGAGTCCCACTCTCTATCTCTCTCTCATTGTGTTCTTGTATATAGTCAGTATGTGAGTTGTTAGGATGAGTCCTGGCAACGTTAACTGTTGCCCCACGGCGCCTTTACCTGGATAACTGACGTGAGTTTTATTGTAATTATTTAACTAAATTTGTATTATTAGTATTGGTAATTACTTTATTTGTAAGTAATATTGTTTTTATTTGTTTAATTTGTTAATTTAATCGCGATTGTTATTAATAGTATAAAATCTCGGTAACGAACAGGAGTTGAACTGTTTTCAGTTATATGAGTTATAAAACTGAAATGACTCTTTAAATAATCAATTCAGAGCATACCGTATTGTCTTGCTTCATAAATCATATTATACATAATATGTATATAAATATGGTAAATTCCCACCCCTTTTTAGTTTCCCTTCTGAATTCTATGTTTTGAAGCAAACACTACAAACGCTTACATTATCCCATCTCAAATATTTACCGATAAATTGCTGTATGAATTTTGACTTTATTTATTTATTTATCTCATTAATACTTATATCATCGATATTCGATATTATTAAACTTTTAACCATGAACAACTGTGATATAACTGTAATGATATAAATATTATTACAAATAATTTGTGTTTTGTGAACCACCAAATGCTCTACTATATATTAGTAGAGACCACAATAAAATGTAACAATTTCATAAATTCTATGGGGTCAGTGCTGGAAATTCTTACACAAAATTGATAATTGGTCACTAACAAATAATTAATATCCTCATGATCGTGATGTTCACATTTGGTTATCATTGTTAAAGTTCTGTTTAAATACAAATATCATATTGTTAAGATGTGTGTTTAGTAACGCGTAGAGTAGAAAAGAGCGGGCCCACCCAACCCGTTATTACAATTCGACATTTTGTTTTATTGTCCGTTCTCCTAAATATTTACAGTTATCCTACTGTTGTTTATGTGCTTCTTTAGTTATATCCTCTTTTCTTTAAAGTTAAACGTTTCAACATTACCATATATCAAATAACTTGAGTAAACCATCTAGTATTAGTGACATAGGCGCCAGGAAGTTAATCGGGGGGGGGGGGGGGGGGGGGGGGGAGATCGGTCAGGAAACATATGGATCATCTTTTCAAAATTATAATTATGTTTCAATGAATCTGATTCAGTTAAGTCATCTAAAATCAGAAAAGAGAAATGCGATATATTTTACTCATCACTAATCCCAACTTAGTTCAATTTAATAATTAATCACCCTGCTTGTCATAATGTTACATAGCGAGCACACACGGGGATCACTGAAAATACCACAGAATTATGCTAACCATTTCTTAGCCACATCGCATGTCGTCACACCTCACTGAAACACTGAAACACTGAAACTATAGAATTGTACAACCTCTCAGTACTAAAGAAGTAGTTGAGTAACTACTATTGTCTGCTTGGACGAACTGTAGTCTGTAGTCTGTACAGTATACTGTGTGCACAATGCGTGGTGTGCACACTCCACTTCCACACATCATGTTACTCTGGTAACTTTGTAAATAGTTTGTCAGCCAATACGTTCGGTTCATCTCTAACATTTCCCCTGTTATTACCAATCTATTATCTCTACACATCTCCCATTTAACCGGGACGATTAGAAGTTACTATTGACTAAGAGCATGATGTTGGTGGCGATATAGCACCCCCTCTCTCTCTCTCTCTCTCTCTCTCTCTCTCTCTCTCTCTCTCTCTCTCTCTCTCTCTCTCTCTCTCTCTCTCTCTCTCTCTCTCTCTCTCTCTCTCTCTCTCTCTCTCTCTCTCTCTCTCTCTCTCTCTCTCTCTCTCTCTCTCTCTCTCTCTCTCTCTCTATATATATATATCTCTCTCTCTGTCTGTCTGTCTGTCTCTCTCTCTTTCTCTCTCTCTCTCACCCCGATCTTTGACTCTCTCCGAAACCATTATTTTATGAATAATTCAGATGTAGCTCAAACTGGGCACCACTGGACCTACCTTAATCATGGTGTGATTTAAGGGAGCCGTTGGAACATTAGTTTAACACGTGGTTTATAGTTTAACATGTAGTTTATAGTTTGGCACGTGCGTCGTAGTTTGGCACGTGCTCTTTGAAATGCAGATACTAGCCTGAGCGTGTGGGGCGCCTGTGCACACCTTGCAGCGCCGTATTCCTCTTTACTTACAGTAACTTGACAGCTCTTGGCATACTTCTCTTACTTTTCTACACAGTTCTTCCACCGACCAGGTGCAAATAGGGATCATTGCTCGGAATTTATCCGGGGACCTTTCTATGTTCGGGGCCCTCCGCGCTCTCTTGTTTGTACAATAGGAGACCATTCTTAAGACACGCACTCCTCTGTTCTCACTTTATCACCCACATATACATCCCAATGACAATGAAGGAGCAAAAGCAGGTTCCTGACAAAGGATTTTCTTGTCATGTGATCATTTTGGAGGGCGGGTGGTTGTGGGTTAACATATTTACTATTTAGTGAACTGTGTGCTATATTAGACGTGAAAGACGGGTATTCATGTTAAGGTGTCCAATCCGTTCCTGTCTTACTGGCTTACACTCTCTGTTTCTCTATCTCTCTCTCTTTCGCTCCCTTCTAAACCGCTTATTACGTGCAGTGAAGCACTGTATCTCCAAATGCAACACCTTCATCCAAATTCGCTTTGTTCGAGATTATTGCTTTATAAACCTCTCCGGGTTAGAATAATCAGCTAGGCGGGCGGGATAGATTCTGATAATCCCGGCTCCCGCTGTTAGTTTTTTCCCACTGCATAAATAACCCCGGCACAGCTTCTATAATCCCGCCCCGCTAATTTGGCTCAACAAGATTTGTTTTGTTTTGATATTCCATGATAATTTCAACCACGCACTGTCACTTGTTTTGATGACGTGTATCACGTGACTAACTACTACGACTCGCATTGGTAAAAAGTGTCACGTGACCTATAGCTTAACGTAAGAACTATAAAGTATAAGTATACACTTGATCTACGTATCGGTTTAATTGCAGGCGCTGGCAAAACTCCAGCACACTGCTTACATTACTTGAACTCTTACATTACTTTGACCAGTTCCAGAACTTGTCTCGACGGTTAATTTTGTCGTAGCAATTGCCCTGTTTGATATAAGCCATGTATTATAGTCTTCTACTTTGATGAACTTCATGACACGATATCATTATTAGCTCCACCTTTTATCGCTTGCCAGGCTTAACTCGACGCCCCTTATCGATATTCATTCAACGTTCTGACTGAGGAATAATGTTTAAATAGAACGCCAATTTCAAATGTCATAGTACCTTAGTTTTATTTATTTAATAGTATAATATACTCCCCAATTCCATTTCATATTTTCCATACTGATCTCATATAGCTAGAATTAAGATTAAAACGTCAAATTTGTTATTTTCATGATAATCCCTCGTGCTTTGCACTCGAAATTATTATCAATTTTTCCCGCGCGTCGCGGGAAAAACTGCCGGGGTTATGTGACATGTGTTTTATATCTGCCTATTGTTGCGCAATGTGATGTCTTTGTTTTGAAATATATAACTCATATTGCAACTTGCGCGTATTATATCTGCACGTATTATATAATATATATTATATAATACAGTCAGGTGTAAGTTGTAACTTGTAACACAGTCTGGTGTAACATGTAACACAGTCTGGTGTAACTTGTAACACAGTCTGGTGTAACTTGTAACACAGTCAGGTGTAACTTGTAACACAGTCTGGTGTAACTTGTAACACAGTATGGTGTAACTTGTAACACAGTCTGGTGTAACTTGTAACACAGTCTGGTGTAACTTGTAACACAGTCTGGTGTAACTTGTAACACAGTCTGGTGTAACTTGTAACACAGTCTGGTGTAACTTTTAATACCGATCAGTGTCACAATATCACATATAACACCTCTCAGTTTCCGACATCATTGTTTGTCACAAATTTACCACATAAGACGGCTGTATTATATATCTAAGATTACGTTTATGAAACCTCTTAACACTTCCTAAGGTATCTCTTGACCACACTGGTTAATAGTGACCACCTAGATACACAGTATCAGCAGATGTATAATATATCAGTAATAGTTTTGTGGTTTTAATCTCCCAGGAAATAACTAATTACGACATTTTACCTCTAGTGACATTCTACCTCTCAGTTAGTTCACACTCTTTCTTATAGTGTCTGCTCCTCGACACACTTTCCCTCCTCTATATTATATTTACTCCTCTATATTTACTCTTCTTAATCTCATTGGGCCTCTTTCCACGTTGTGTACGTTGCTTAGTTTACACTTTACACGCCTCAAAACATGGCTGCTCAATTACTATTAAGTAAATTACTAAATGAAGCTTGATTGGTTGCTTGAATGGCGGTGGTTGCTCCTTGCCTTGTGCTATATTAAAGTAACCCGGGGGAAGTACCAATTAGTATTCCTTATAGTTTATCTGCTCCCACCGTTTAGTTAGAAGTTATCCTGACAAACAAGCTGTTCTGTCACACGTGCATCAATTCAACGAGTCACGTGCGGGCTTGTTTAGTTGTCCTGACAACGCTCTTTGTCGTCACGCCGCCCTCCTTCTCCACCTTGCAGCCAGTTTAGAGGGTCATGTGACCCCATGTAAGGTACGTTTTGTCGTGTAACCCCCCCTCCCTCATGTTATCCCATAACCCATTGTTTGTGACCCCTTGTTTGTGTTTTTCCCTTTGAATCGTGGTATCTGTTGCCTAAATTTGATAATCATTTATATGATACTATTTTATTGTCTTGATTGATATCTTGATAATGTGACTACATATTATAGGACAAGGATTACAAGATAAGGATTACCAGATAGTGATTCACTGTGCTCTAGATACCAGTATATTATGCTGAGAGGGAGGATAGTCAGTATTATAGCCTGAGCTGGGAATTGGAGGGTCGGAGGATCGGAGTGGGCGGGGTGGGGCTCCCTCTCTCCCTCATATATGTTAATAGCCAGACATTAGAATACACAGTAGAGGTCATGCAGGAGGGCTTGCCACCCTTAAGTAGCATTATGATTAACCTCCTATACATAATATTACTGCGGGAGCTCCAAACATTCCTATAGGAGCATGTTAAGTGACTGAAATCAAGAAGTTTGATTGGTCCATTCCAGGCTCCCCAATCGTCTTGTGTGATTTATTTATCCGACCAGCCAGCTAGCTATACTCAGCCGCGAAAAGATGGCTGCTAAAAGCTTGAAATTACAACAGAATTAGCATACAATCTATAATTTTGGAGTCAGTTTTATGCACCTGTGGATTGTGGAATAGTTAGGAGGGGTAAACAAACGGACCAACATTAATCTTGAGTATTTGTGTATCACTTCACTTCAGTCAGGCAGTGGTTCACACTCTGTTGAAAATTCTTTAGGGAAATTTTGGGGACTCCTTAGTTTCCTCGGGGATAGGGGCGGTAATTGAGTGTGGAGCATATTCTAGCTCCCTGCATTAATGTCCGGTATACAGTGTCGTCATTCATATTATATTTATGTACATTATTACTTTGGGCCACCCTCTATAGTCCGATTTCGATCCTGGACTTATGTGGCGAGTTTGCTCCCAAAACCAAAACCAAAACCAAAAAGTCACCTCACATGACTGCTCGATCATGTAGATTGTAGACAAATATGTGTATTTTAAAAGGAAGAAATATTTTGAATGTTGGCAATGGTGCTGGGTTCATTATGTATAATATTCCAGTACTCAGTAAAAGATTCCACTTTTCTAATTCTCGTGCTTGTCTTTGCGTCAATATGCAGTACAGTGAACAGTCTTCTCTCTTTTTGTTCAAAATTTCGGTAAGTACCAATGTACTATATTCAAGACCTTGCAAAGTATGTGTCTTGAGGAAACACTTGCTAAGTTTACCTATGAAAAGCAGTATTTGTTCCCACTATTTGTCACCCAATTTAGCAATTCATAGCACTACAACTCCCCCAACCTAAACACAACCCTTACCCCACCCATTATTCTCCGTAGTGAGAAATGGGACAAAATAGAGGGTACATTTAAACTTATATTTTGGGACCAGTTAAGGTCTTTTAAAATCATATTTTTCCTAAAGTTTAGCTTGTCCAATAAATTATTTCTATATGTTAGACTGTTAAACTGTTTTCCCCCTTTTTTTCTTGGTTCTATATGTAAGACTGTTTTTGTATTTAAAATATGATATAACGGAAAATCAGAGCGTAACCAGTCCGTTGATAATCAGGTCCGAGATCATCAGGTCCGAGATCATCAGGTCCGGGATCATCAGGTCCGGGATCATCAGGTCCGGGATCATCAGGTCCGGGATCATCAGGTCCGGGATCATCAGGTCCGGGATCATCAGGTCCGGGATCATCATGTCCGAGATTATCAGGTCCGGCGATGAACTTTTTAAAAGTACGATTATAAATACTTAAACCTTTCAGGACAGTGTGGTCCAACTGTAAACATTGAATCTCTGCATGACCAGGTAAGAATTATCAACTACAGTTTAAAACTTAAAACATATGAGTTTTACAATTACAGTTAACAAATCTTTTAACATTTTATCTGTTGCTAATTTTGGTCCAAATGCAGTGCTATTATTCCTCGGCTTTTTTACCAGCACATGTTTTATACGTTTTATACTCAGTTTTCATGACAGATTCCACGTCATGTCAAATGTTAATTTATCGCTACTACACCACTCTTAGTTGTGTGGATTGCTACTAAAATTATACCTCTGAAAATACAGAGAGACCAGGTGCAGTTTCTTTACCCGACAGTATTATATTCTTGTGATTATTTCTGGGGTCAAATTTACAACACCATAATATGCTGTATATTATCGTCATTAGGTTATCATACAAAATGTAGAGTCGCTTTCTTTAGCGGGTCTATGATTTAAGATTAGTGTGTACTAAAGGTGTTTGGGCCAGCTGAAAGTTAAAGTTGAGATTATTAATTTTCCGGGAATTTTGGAGGAAATTTGGTATAATGATCGCGGTAGATTTAAAATTCCGGTAAATCGAAGTTTTGATTCACACTTTTTGAGAACTTATGAACTAAAGCAGGACGTCCGGTAAATTGGAGCCGGGTAAATCAGGTTAAGACTGTACAAGTGTGAAAGTTTTGAGGGTTTACGGCTGATTATTCCTTCGAATAAAACAGTGGTTACTGCTAGTGTTACGATTGATAGTGTTTCTTCTGCTAGTGATTCGTAATAAACACACAAAGTTTCACCGATGGTTCCGACATAAGTAATAATATAGATTGTTTGAGTGTTAGCAAGATTGAGTAAAAGTTATTACTTGATTCTGCAAAGTACATCTTTACCGACCTCATTTTAGTAATGAGGGATTCGGTGCCAGCTTATTAGCCGATCATTCGTTGATAAAGTCTACACGAACCGCCAAGATTTAGACTTAGAGATCATAGCACTTGGTTATACAATAAGAGATCGCAAAAACCGTTTACTGGGTTGTTGTATTATTAAAATATCATGAGAGCTAGGGTCTAGGGTCTCAGGCATTGCGTCAGCTATTTCAAGCGAGTTAAAAAGTCAAACATCATCGCTTTAGTTTCACTTATAAATCAGAATGAATATTGACCACACAAATTTAAATATAATCACATTTTTAAAACACTATGACGTTGTATTACCTAGAATAGACACGGTCCTCAAAAACAATGGCTGGCTTTTACAACTCAGTGATCACCATCTCAGGGGCCCCTAACCATCCTAACACAATAACACACCAGGTCCAGTCGGTATCAGGGGCCCCCACACACCCTTCTCTCTCTCTCTCTCTCTCTCTCTCTCTCTCTCTCTCTCTCTCTCTCTCTCTCTCTCTCTCTCTCTCTCTCTCTCTCTCTCTCTCTCTCTCTCTCTCTCTCTCTCTCTCTCTCTCTCTCTCTCTCTCTCTCTCTCTCTCTCTCTCTCTCTCTCTCTCTCTCTCTCTCTCTCTCTCTCTCTCTCTCTCTCTCTCTCTCTCTCTCTCTCTCTCTCTCTCTCTCTCTCTCTCTCTCTCTCTCTCTCTCTCTCTCTCTCTCTCTCTCTCTCTCTCTCTCTCTCTCTCTCTCTCTCTCTCTCTCTCTCTCTCTCTCTCTCTCTCTCTCTCTCTCTCTCTCTCTCTCTCTCTCTCTCTCTCTCTCTCTCTCTCTCGTCAGTAACCTATCGTCACATCACCAGTAACCTGGCTCTCAAACAATACTCCCGGGACTAATCCCCGGGTACCCAGGTCCCCAGCTCCCTCTCTTTCTCTTCCCTAATTCTGAGCCACTGTACCCCCTTCTAATAGGTGATTAGTGAGGCCCAACTACCGTGAGGTGTGTGAGAGAGAGCCAGGGTCACGGAGAGAGAGTGAGGATGTTGGCTAGTTCTTTGTGTGTGTTTTGTGCTTTGTAGAGGCTGAGAATGTAAACATTGTGAAGGTCAAACCCCGCGATAATGAGGCTACCGTGAGTTTTTATACTTTATTTTTACCATCTCATTGTATTTACTTTTTTATAGATAAAGTGTGGAGCCTCCCCAGTGTAGGTGGTAAGTAGGAGGGATTCAGGGATATCCTTCCTGCTGCGGTTTCCTTCAAAGCATTCTGGTTAGGAAGTATCTACAGGGAGTTTGCAGCCTCTTTGCACTGCATCATTTCTTCATTTTAAATAAATAGAAATACTGATCTTGATTTCTTCATTATGCAGCGACTAAGTTTGCTCTTAATATATCAATATTAAATGCTTAAATGCGTATTTCGGGGATTGTTTCTGCCTTTTTTTGGAAATTTTGCGTCACGATACCAGTCCTATCGCAATCTATTTAAATTGTTTTACTGAATGATAAACGTTTTGAGGTCAAACTTTGTAAAATTATTTCCGTTAAAAATTGTCTAAACCAGATTTAATGTCACCAAAAAGCCAATAAATGTATTTTTAAATAAAACGTTTAAAACCACCAGACAAGCTAAACACTGAAATCATCCTAATTATCATCCTAATGAATCGAACACTTTTTGTTAGTCCTACTGTTGGTTATTGTATCAAACTCCGGCTTCGTTTGACTTTGGCTACAACCTCTGGTGACGCCAATATAAATTCGATAACAAGTCCCACATGACTTCATTACATGTACATTTCATGTGAATAACAATAACTGTAATATAAAACCTTTTTCCTTTGTAATGATGCTCCGTTAAATTTTAACCATCCATAAAAACAAATACACTTGTAAGACCAACCAATCAACTACCGTATTTATGAACGATTAACGACATCTTTCTTTGAGTTTCAAAAATCACATTAATGGCACGGAGTAAAGCAAGGCGCAAGCTCAGTTTAAATTATTCAAAGATCAAACCACCGTTGATTATATTATATATCCTAATTGCGTAAAGAATATTCAATACGAATAAACTATTCCTGCATGAACTTAATTTCCAGAGCAACACTGAACTATGAACTGCGTAACCTTTTGAAACTTTTCTGTCACCCCAGTTTCTAACGTTGTGCAACAGTAGCTTTACCATTTGGAGAGCTGTGACTCTCCTGCAACTTTTGCGTCACGAAGTAGTATAGGGGTGCGGCTAGGGCGGTTTTATTAATATTTTTAATAAAGATGTCTCAGCTGTGAAGCTAGAGAGTAGGCCCAATCAGAATTCATTAATCTAACTAAATGGCTGAGTGGTTATCTATTAGTAAGTTAGCAATAGATAACACCAGGATAACACGAGGTAATAATATTACATTAGGTTTATAATTCGTTGTCATTAAATTCTTTCAACAACTCTCATTTAGCTTTCAGATTCTCTTTTAGTGCCATACACCTCTGTTTTAGTGCCATACACCTTACCGAAATGCAACTTTTGGGAGTTAGATTCTGCTAACGGAAAGAAAAAAATTGTTCCGAGGAAAAATATTCCTTCCAACATTGTTTCTTTTACAAAATAGTGTTGCGTAACTTTGGAAATGACCGCCCTTGACAGGATGCGTATAAATACAGTGGCAACCAGCATAAATTACAATAATCAGCGTAAATCCTTACAAATGATAAGTATCACGTATATATCTTATATTTATATATAAATTATATATCTCCTCTTTAAACGAGTGCCAAGTGCAATAGGACCGGTGTCTGTATATTAGTAACAAATTATTGGAATCATTATAATCATAACGCTAATAACACCTCCAAGACAATCAATGTTCATTATTATTCGCGCGGGAGAAGCCGGTTCCCGCTGACAAGTAACTCCTAGTTACCATAACGTTCCGTCACGTGCGTTGCCATAGCAATACTTCGTCACGTGTCTCAAAAGGTGCCCTTCGGTTGGTCCATATGTGACAGGCAGGCTTTTGATTGGTCGGTATGGGGGATGTTTCAGGTGTTCTGCCAGTGCTCCTCTCCTTATTCTGAAGCGTGAAGTTCAAGTAACCGGGTATGTTTTCTACTCATCTGTCTTACTGTTGTGCATTGTATTAGTACTTGTTCTGAAATTGAAGCAGGAAGAAGTCTTTCTAATGCCCTATACTGAAGGTTGGTTGGGTGGTGGGGGGAGGGGGATTTAAGGTACTGATTCGTTTTTTACATACAGTTGGTTGTTTTTGAAGCGGTTTTGTTATATTCATATTTATATTAGTTTTTCTAGTAAATTTTATGCGAAAAACGGAAATTGGGGTCCGGCCGCAAAAAGGTATATTTTTATACCGTAGATTCTTGTAAAGAAAAAATAAACTTGTTTGTCGTTTTCGGTTTCAAGGCCGGTTAATATTTACGATTTGAAACTACTGGGTGAAGTATATCATGGCTGAATAGACCATAATATGGTCTATTCAGCCATGAGATTATTCACTCAATAGTTTCACATTCAATGAGTGGTCTCGTGAATTGGGATTTTAGATTTCCCGAACATTACAATCTCTTAAAGTTAAAACAGTGCTGTGCCCGTCGTTAATTCATAAAATGACAGTAAAATAGTACAGTTGAGAGTTCTGCTGTCCCCCACCATTCTCTCCTCCGCCATACTACGGGTCCTGACTTTAACTCTCTCCCAGCTGAGCGCATAGTGTGGTGATTGGTAAACTGTTACCAAAATCTTGTTTGGTAATTTCGTCTTCTCTCGGGATTTTAAGTCATATTTCTGACTATTTTAGTACAGAAAAAGGAATATGTCAACTGTCAGTAACTGAACTTTACACCAAGCTGGTCGATGAGTTTTACCGTGAATACCGTCAGACTATTCCAGACTGCCGACATATTCACAAGTTTCGGACTATTCCATGCTCTACCAGGACTATTCCAAGACCAGGATCTTCTAGCAATTTTCGGACTATTCCAGGATCTTCTAGCAAATGTCGTACTATTCCAGGCTTTACCATGATCTTCTAGCAAATGTCGTACTATTCCAGGCTCTACCAGGATCTTTTCGCAAGTGTTATGAACTCGAACACGTTTTGTGCTGGTAGATTTGTCTATAGGGCGTCAGCCGGGGCAACCTC